AAAGAAAAACCTTTTTCTTTTAAAAAGGGATAAAAAATTTATAGACTAAAAATTGGTGTAAAAAAATAAAGGTTAAAAATGTTATTTTTATTTTATATTTATAATAATATTAAAACATAAAAATATGTATATTAAATAATTTTAAAAAATCCAGATAAACAAAAAAATTAGAAAAAAAAACTTTCTTATAAAACACAACACACTTTAAAGTCTCATGAGAAAAAAAAAATCTATAACTAAAAAATACAAGTTAGTTGTTACTCCAATTTTATTATTGAAGAATTTTTAATTAGTTTACAACAACTAACCTAAGAATATTCAACAAAATTTCATCACAAAGGTTGAAATAGAAGATAGTTATTCCATCACAAATATATATATATTGATAAAAGATATTTAAATAATTTTATAAATAATTCTTACATTTTAAGTGTTAATGCTATCTCTTAATTGACCAAATCTCCTTTTTGCATTATATATATATATATTTTTGGTTTACATCCTCTATAGTTTTTATTTTTAATTAATATCTTTTATAATTTAAAATTAGTAAAAAAAACTTAAAAATTAATTGTCAAATCTTCTATTTACACCAAAGATTAACGGTCCAACCCTTATTTACATCTTAATTTTGTTGATAATTTAAGATTTGTTTATAAATTTTAAATTATAAAAGGTGTTAATAAAAAATAAGAATTATAAAAGGTTTTTATTGTAAAAAAATAATACATAGGATATAAATTGTGAATATGACCCTCTTAATTTTTACCTATTTTCTTAATTTTAAATCCTAATCCTAAACAAACCATATACCGTGGAGAAAGCCCATATTAAAAGGTGACTTAACTCGAGATATTAGGTTTAAATTTAATTTTTAACTGGGTGGAAAAGAGTTTTGAAAAAATAAATTTTTTTTTTTAATAATCCAACATATTTTGTATTTGAAAAAGAAAACTGTAGAGAAAATCTAAACGGCGCGGCTAAAAGTAAGCCGAGTGAGAAGTGGTAATAATAGTATCAGTCGCCCTCAGTGTGATCCCACTTACAGGCTGTCCGAAACTGGAAATGTCACTGCAAAGTGCCACCTCTGACCTCCCAAAAGTCCCAAATGTAACCCTCTCCATCTC